TCTTCGACGATGTTTTGATCGCCGCCGCCTCGCCACCTGAATTCGCGGACCGACTTCGCGCCATCCTCCGCCGGTTCCACGACACTGGGCTAAAGGTCAAGAGGGAGAAGTGCTTGCTGGGGGTGCCATCGGTGGACTTCCTGGCATTCCCAGTCGACGCGTCCGGCCTCCACCCCGCCCGCGACAAGGTGAAAGCCATCGTGGAGGCACCGGTGCCCAAATCGAAGCAGGAGCTCCAGGTGTTCTTAGGGCTCCTGAACTTCTACCACGCGTTTCTCCCCCACAAGGCGGCAGTAGCGGAGCCCCTCCACCATCTCCTCGATAAACAGACCCCATGGCAGTGGGGGCCACGGGAGGCTGTGGCGTTCAAAGGGGTCAAGGCTCTGCTCGTTGCCAACCCGCAACTGGCCCACTTCGATGAGAAGCCGTGGGGGTCCGGGACGCGCCCGAGCCAGCGGCGGCACCAAGACGCTCATCACAGGAATGACGGCCACCGGCTCACCTCAAAGACTATCAGACATAAGGGGGGTCCAGACCATGGGGGGAGGGATGTTATGTCCGTGGACCGCCACTGGGCGCCCGTGATACAGCAGAGCTTGAGTCCGGAGAACAATGGGACCAGGCTCCTGCACCCTGCCACTAGGGGAACCAATGGGACATTGGCAGGAGGTTTGAATGGGCCAATGGGAGGTTCCCCAGACTGTATATAAGCGGTCAGTTGGCCATTGGTGCGTGTGCGTGTTGTGTACTAGTAAGTGTGCAGTGTATCATGCGTGCCTCAGCAATTCTTCCATGTGGCTAACCCACTACACAACAGCCACTTCCTTCTTTGTGTTGCTTGCATGCTGAAAAAGACCAGATGGCCTTTCAATAGCAATAAAGGTAGGACTGAGATTTACCAAGGGATCAGTTACACTAGTCAAAGCATATGGTATTCTCTTTGTGGTTATGAACACAGGTGTGGAAGTTAGCTGTATAAATTAATGTCATGTTATGCAATGCAATTGGGTACCCAAAACATAGGTCAATGCATATTTGTTATAAATTAAGAAATGGAATTTAAACCTCTTGTCCAATATTAACCATGCGAAGCAGAAAGTCTCAGTCTCACAGCAGCCCAATCATTCCCAAGAAATCCAAAAGCTTGTTTTTAGGTAGGTTTCCCTTTCCCTGTGTATGTTGGGACTATACCATAAAACAATCAGTCCATAAAACAATCAGCTATGAAGACAGACTTACAGGATTCCTGAGAAGTCCACTGGTTTATTTCTCCAACCACCAGAAATGTATCATAACCATTTGTATTTCCCATTTTCCAACACATAATAGAGATAAAGAAGAAGCAAGTACAACCCAAGAAGATTGATTTTGGTAGCAGGTTTGCAACCTGAGGCTATTGCTAGAGGCTATGTGACATTCTACCCTCCTTTTATCGTGCAGTATTTGACTACTGGGGATTGGGACTGCCACCTTGTTATGGTCACAGACTGTGCCTTTAAGCAGCTGCTAACAAGTGAAATTCCCTGATCACGGCATCTCCAAGACAGAAAAAGTTTGGGTTTTGCATGTCACACAGCTATTGAGGGCACAGAGCTTCCATCCATCAAATAAGATGGCAACGTAACTGGGTAGTTTGACTTCCTCATAAAGGAAGACGAACTAGGAAAGGTGGTGGAACCAGGAGTAAAAGTACTGCTTAAAAAGTGGCCACAGTCAGGCTTCCGTTCATATTTTTGAGCCTCCCCCAAGAGACAGCACTGGTAATAAATTTCTTTAACCCTTCTTTGGAACATCTATTATTATTATTTATCATTGATCAGGGCTTTTTTTGTAGAAAAAGCCCAGCAGGAACTCATTAGCATAATAGGCCACACCCAACAACAGAAACTCATTAGCATATCCAGCCACACCCCAACACAATAGCTCATTAGCATATTAGGCCACACCCCCGCGTTACCAGAAGTATGGTCATCCAGCCACACCCACCTTTTGCTTCTTATTCTGTTTACCTTGTTTGTTGTCAAAACCCAGGGCCTTTTTTTGTAGCAGGAACTCCTTTGCATGTTAGGCCACACACCCCTAATGTAGCCAATCCTAATGAGTTCCTGCTGTTGGGTGTGGCCTATTATGCTAATGAGTTCCTGCTGGGCGTGGCCAACTTGGGAGCCAGCCGGAACTCCGTTCCTGTGCGTTCCGGCCCAAAAATAGCCCTGTCATTGATTATCATTTAAACCCTGACTTTCACCCTAATGGGGAACCATAGCAGCTTGCATCATTCACCTTTCCTCCATTTTATCATCACATTAACCCTATCAGGTTGGGGAGGCTGAGAATGTGTAATTGATCCAAGGTCACACCATGAGCTTAAAACTCAGGTCTCTCAACTCTTAGTCTAATAATCTACCACACTGGCTTTCTAGAGTTAAAAAAACCCCGCTGCTTGGCCCTGACCTGGATAACCCAGGCAAGCCTGATTTGTCAAATCTCAGAAACTAAGTGAGCATGGCGGACATACAACTAACTCTCCTCCACTCAGTACCCTTCAGCAAACTTCTTGTCTGAGAGTTCGGAACCTTGACAGTTTCCAAAACTTTGATCTGACGGTCCAAGACATCACAAATGTTGCACTCACACGACTGGGCAGCTCTGTTGCAAAGAAGTTTTCCCATCCACTGTTCCACCTGAAAAGTTTTGTCACAGGACCTGGGGGCCTAAATGTTTATGACTCGGGTGTTTTTCTTGTTTGTGGTACTGAATTGCCAAGTTGTGACAGTGTCAGAACCCACAGCTAACAATGAAGTACACGCATTCAGGAACGGTTATACTTTTATTGCAACCACACTGACTTTAATCTCAATTTGTAACCATGGTCCATTGTTTTTTTGTTTTTTTTTAAAGTACTTGCTTATGATTGAGGACACACCCCCAATGGCATTGGCCAATTAGGCACCCTCCCGTGCGCGGGATAAGTCAGGCAACCGTTAGGTGGCTAAAGCTGAGAACTCGGAGTATCTCACGGTACATAGGCGCTCTCCAGACAACACTACCTCCTCCTGCACATCTGTAGAGATAAGCGTTTCAGCAAAGGCATAACGAGAGGGATAGGAATGCAATAGCAATTAACAAGACACAGAATGAACTCCCCAACCCCCATAGCAACATAGCTGACAGACAGGAACCAAGGCTATGGCAGGGGCTGCTAGATCAAGAATGCAGACCCAAGTTCTCTAGAAAAAGCACACTGACTTTAATCTCAACTTGTAACCATGGTCCATTGTTTTTGTTTTTTAAAGTACTTGCTTATGATTGAGGAAGTTCTAAAAAACACTGTCTCAGAATCCTAAAGCCCTTGTCAGAAAATTGATACCAGTATAACGAATGCACATGAGCAGAGCAGGATTGTGACAACAAGCCCCACCCTGTACACGCTCAGTAGACTGTGAGAAGAGCCCCTACAGAGATACAAACTGTGCACACTTAGGCTTGTGAACAAGACTGTAATCACAGCCTGTGGAGAATGAACAGATCACATGGGGTGGGGGGGGGGTTACTGCCCTGTCCTATTTCTCACACACATTCAAATATCCCTAGTGTGGCTACATGGATCATCTTATATCTACCGCGCTTCACTTTGCTCCGGGGCAAAAAGCCTCACTTCCCCCCCCCCTTGGATTATCTCGCTCGTGTGACCGGGACCAGTGTAAACTAATGTAGCCACTGAACAAAACACTATAAAACAATGAAATAAAGCAATGCAATGAAACTGCTATAAGGCAGCAAGAACTAGTGACAATGCAGTATAAAAGTGGTGAAAACAAACCAAGGATCAAATGTCTGGAAAAATAAACACATCTTAAACTTGGCACCTATAAGATGCATCAGGGAGCTCTTGAATCTCTCTGGGAGGGGAAATTCCACAAACAGCCGCAGCTCCAGTTGCGGCGCTCGTCTGAAAGTTCTGCAAGCCCATAGCCAAGCCATCAAAGAACACCTCAAAACACGGTCAGATTCGTGCAAAATAGGCTATCCTTCCGTTTAACCATTAGAGACAACCATACTTGGCATAGACAATGAGGTCTGTTGAAAGCATCACCTATAGAATTTCTGTCTGTGATAGATCTATGCAAGACACCTTACAACTCTGTTCAACTTTGAACCTCCTGCTAAAGCAAGGCTATGCAAGAAGCAGAGGTGTCAGCTCTTCATCGTGTTTTGTATTCATTCTCTCCCTGCACTTTTAGCAGAAGTTAAACTGGCGATGTGCTGTCTGTAGTGAAAATGAAACTAATAAGAAGAACATCCTCTGCTAGGTAACCAGAGGATACAAGCTGTAGAAGGCACAAGAGCAGAGGCAGTAAGAGATGTTGGCAATCCTATCCATCCTTTAACAATTTCCAAGTTTCAGCAGCCTTCTTTTCCTAGCTGCACATTCCCCAAGCCTTTTTTTTAAAAGTTTGCACTCCAGACTTTATTAGCTGTTAAAGTAGCAAGCACCTGCCTGTTCTTCGAATCAGAGCAACAAGCCGTGCTTTCACAGTAAGCCGCACACTCAGTGGACCTTGAAGATTTGTTTTAGCGCAGGCCACCAGTTCAGCTTCACAATTAGCTGCCTGAATGCGACCCACACCACCTGCGCTGAGGGAAACCGGCATGGATTAACAGCAGAGTAACCTTGAGGGGCAACCAATTTACCCTTCTCTGGTCACAAAATAAAGTCACTAGACAAAAGATTCAAAAACAGTTCAGACTCCCTAAATCACATCTGTACCAGGAAAAAAACAACCCTGCTCAGCTCATTTAGATTTTGTATTTACTAGTCAATTCATTTTTAGATTTTAGAATGGAAAAAAAAATCTTACAGGGATTTACTCTCTGTTTATTTTAGCAAATTTGATTAAAGAGATACAAGCTGATAGAAGAGAATGTGTTTTGGAAGACAGATTCTACCTACAGAACTGGACTGCCTTTTTTGTTTGCTTGTTTTTCAAAGCCATACTTACAAATTCAGGGAGAACAAGAATATCTGGAAAAGAAGACAGGACTTTGAGACCACTGGGTAAGGAGACAGACGTGGTTGCTGAAGACATCTTGCTGGTTTCTTTCCAGACTCACCAAGAGAGTCCTCACACTACAGACCCTTCCTTCTGCTCCAGGTCCTTCCTTCTGTTCTCTTGGGCAGGTGAGTTCTTACCTGTTCAGTTATGTTAATACTGCCCGCCCTTCAGGGCAGGAGCTCAGCTTAAGGGTAACCAACCAATTGGAATACCTATTTTTGTGTTTCTGTGCCCTGGACTGCTCTGGATTGTAATTGTCTCGCATTCTGGTAGGTGCCTTGTTGTCATGCCTAGAAGGCAGGTGCAGCAAACATAATTTAAAATCCAAAAGTGTTTTGGTTCCGGTGAAGCAGCTATAAATTTAAGATGATAGAGTTACAACCCCTGGAGTGAGTGAAGTAATGCTATGGTAATTGGTTATTGGCTTGTTTGTTTATTGTACATTTAAAAATCAACTCCTCTGGAATTCCAGAGCTATATCCCTTTCCATTATGTGTCCAAGATCAGTAAATAATGTTATTTTTATTGCTCAAACACTCTGCCATGACATAGTCACAGAATAGTGTCAGGACCCACAGCAGCAACCAAGTACACACTTGCAGGAAGGTTTTACTTTTATTGAAGCTATAGATGCATGAACAGGAACACTGTTAGGAATGACAGGTAAGCTATGCGCATGTAATGTTATAGTACATTCATATCAGCAGGGGTCATTTCGTAGAAAAAGAGCTAGGGGAACTCATTAGCATAACTCATTAGCATATACCACATCCCCTGACATCAAGGGTCCGGTGGTGGACCTGCAAGGCCAGTGGGAGTGTGAGGAAGCCCCGCGAAGCATTGGGGGCATTTTTATTGGCATGTCTTTGATTTTCTGCACAATTTCATTCTTGTTTTTGAAGTCCACATATAGATGTTCCGAAATCTTAATGAATGCTTCTTTTATATACTCCCCCCGTAGGCCAGCCATGGATAAAGGCAAGAAGAGAAAAATTTCTGAGGAAGACAGAGTGTTTAATGATGCATGGACAGAATCATTTGCATTCACTATGCAGTGTTATATTTGTTTTAAATGTCGCAATGGTTTTGCGGCTCCCGGTTTTTTTTTCCCGTCGGAAACGGGTCCAAGTGGCTCTTTATGTCTTAAAGGTTGCAGACCCCTGCCCTAGCGACTCCTCCAGCGGCCTTGAAAGATACTAGTTGTAGCAGAGCGGCAATTAAGTGCAAGAGAAAGAATGCGCATGAAAAGGGAAACAAAAGAAACTCTTGGCAGCTTGCTGACAAATAGCATATACTAAACTGGAGATGTTTGTGTGAATGGACCTTAATAACTGCCATTAGTATAAACAAAACAGTGCTAAGTGGCCTTTATTTTTCAGAAACCTTGGACTGAGTGGCTTTGAGCCTGTCTAGGATTCCCCCAAGAAAAGCAACTTAAAAAAAAAAAAGGACCCATACAACTCTGCGAATGTACAGAGTGAACTTGTTCTGGGATGGTCTAGGGCACATTGGTGAATCTAGCATCCTGTGCCTCAAGTCCCTACCTGACAAACGTTCTGAATTCAGTATCTGGACCAAGTTCCGGTAATGTGTTAAGCTTAATTTTCAGGGACCCATGGCCCAAATTTGGATTGTAGCACACAGGGAGGGCTTCCCCCCCACCCTGAAACAGGCTCAGAGACACACTATTTGTCTTGTTGGCCCTGTTCTTCTCCACCCATGCCATGGTCCAAATCCAAACTGGGGGCTTGAGCACCTGAAAATTAAGCTTGTAAGAATCCCTGAGGAGAACGCAGAATGAAGTCTAGTAAGGCCCTCATTTTCCATCTGGGCCACAGTAGCTCAAAGATGCTGAGGGGGTTGACAAGTAGGGCTGCCAGCTCTGAGTCAGGTAATATCTGGAGATTTCAGGGGTGGAGCCTGAGGAGGGTGGGGTTTATGGAGGGGAGGGACTTCAATGTGGCCTAATACCATAGAGTCCACCTTCCAAAGCATTTATTTCCTCCAGGTGAACTGATCTCTGTCACCTGGAGATCAGTCGTAATTCCAGGTGGTTTCCAGCCACCAGCTGGAGGCTGGCAACCCAAGTAGACAAGGATCCCAGCAGCATGGCTGCCGGCAGCCACTCAACAGAGGTTCAAACTACCCTACTTGTTGGAGAGCTGTGAACAGATCCGCCACAGTTTCTGTTTTGAATGAAAAGGAGCTATAGAGGGGTGAATATTTGCTTTGGAGAACCAACACTGTGTGTTTAAACGTCACCCTGAGTCCCTCAGCCCCCCCCCACACACACCTTGGCCTGCCATCCCCATTAGGGAACCGGTCCCTTTATATTTAGTTCCATTCATTCTACCATAATCTGATTTGACATTATCTGTTGGTGAAGCCCAATCAGTTTGTGTTTGACTAAAGCAACTCTTTCAGATAAACATGTATTCATAGGGCGGCTTCACACCTGGACTTTTGATCTTTCCTCTTTGCACAGTGCTCAGAGCCACCCCACACTTTCCCATGCAGCCTTTGGCCCACGTTTTCATCCTCTTCTCCAGCCAAAATGGAGCTTGAGCGTGTGTCTGTGTTTCTGGGCACAATTCAAGGTGTTTGCTTTGCCCTTTTCCTCCCTAAGCAGTCTGGGTCCAGAGTACCTCCAGAAGCATCCACATGGGTCCCAGCACGATACAGAACTCTTACTGAAAGTAAGCAGATCTCAGTCTGGTTGGTGCCTGGATGGCAGGAGGACCAGTTTACAGGGCAAGCAACCCAAGGGACTCCTTGTGACTCCAAGCTGGTAGAGGCCAACGGGGCAGGAGTAGATGATGGTTGTAGCTTGTACCTGTTACCAGCTGCCCAAATCCATCTGACTAGAGCCTGCCTTGGACCCAGCAGAGATAGCACAGGAGGCAGCACGTGTCCCTTGCACCTGTTGTCATCTCCTAGACCCATCCTGCTGCTGTGGGATACAATCCTGAAAAATATTCATAGCAGACTACTAAACTCTGGACTCTAAACACCGTCATTCTGCCTCGTGCAGAAAATCACAGCAACAAGATAATGGCTCAAAACAATCTATGAGCATTGACCAGTTCTGCCAGCGTGTTTGTTTCCCCAGAATAAATGATTTGCCCAGAGATGCCCTTATTGAAGGAAACACGCTGCAAATGTCACCTGCTTTGATAAAGACTGATTTGTTTTCCATTTGTTAATTCACGGGTATGTTAATGGGCAAACGTCTCACCCCTAGATGTGTCTTGCTCACTAGGAAGTAAGTACCATCGGCTGCAATGGGGTTTCCTGCCAAGTTTAGGATTACAGTTTTGTAATGAGAACCAAAAAACCAAAGAGTTTTGCATTTCCTCCTATTCATCTGTGCCTACTCTTCTTTCTCTCTGTGACTCAAGGCGAATTACACAGAGTGAGTAGATACAATTCAACAAGATGGGACATTCCATAAACATAGGATTGTAAAAATCTGGAACCAACCAGAAATCTAAAAACAGGACTGAAGCAAAGCATAAGTAGAGCCAGTGTGGTGTAGTGGTTAAGAGTGTAAGACTCGAATTCGAATGCACACTCTTGCTCTGGAGCTCACTGGGTGACCTTGGGCCAGTCACACGCTCTTAGGCTGACCTACCTCACAGGACTGTGGCGAGGATAAAATGGAAGAGAGGAGAATGATGGATACACTTGGACTTTCGCCCCCCCCCCCCCCGGAAATTGGAAAGTCTACGCCCTTGATCAGTGCCCCGGGTGGTGCGGTATACCCAGTAGCCCTTCTCCAGCAAGAATTGGGAGGTTAATGCAATAAATAACGAGTATTCTTGCTGTTTAAGTTCTGCTAAGGAGGCTCAGACAACTATCTTACTTGGATGCACTAGAAGAAGGGTGTCAGGACCCACACAGCAGGTAATGAAGTACACTCTTGTAGAAAGGTTTTACTTTATTGAAGCCATGAAGCACTTGAACATAATCACTGTTCAGAATAAAGACATGGGCTGTGCAAGGTATAATAAAGCGAATTCATAATTCCAATAGCCAATAGATAAGGTTCCCGTGCACACGGCCGGAGTACCATTCTCGCGCCTAAACCCTGAGAACCAGTGTTCCCTTAAGTATAAACAATTAAACTATTCCCACACTACTGCTCATTAAAGACTAAGCAAAGCAGCCTGCCTTTCCCCACCTGTGGCCTTCGTCGGATAGCATTACATCAAAGCGTGACTAGCGTTCATAGAAAGGAATGCAGGGACACAGACAGATGAGCGCATGAAAGACTGGGTAGACATGCGCATGAGATGCCGGGAGCCGAGGGGGGGGTTATTAGGGAAACATCACATACAATACATTACATAGCCCTTAGGAACCATTGGCAGCTTGCTGACACAGGGCCTTTTTCAGGGGTTGTCCCCAACATTGAAGAATTTGTCAGAGGGATTGTGGCTCAGCGGTAGAGCATCTGCTTAGCATGCAGAAGGCCCCAAATTCAATCCCAGGCATCTCCAGTTGAAAAGGTCTGGTAGTAAGTGATGTGAAAGACCCCTCCCTGTGACCTGGATACTTGTCAGACTGGTGGTCTGACTTGGTATAAGGCAGTTCTAGGTGTCCAACCGGTTCTTCTGGATACTGTCAGCTAAGGCTGCCACGGGATGGAATGTGTGGGTTGCTCCTCTCGTCTCCCTCCTCCCTTCCCCCCTTCTCCCTTCAGCTGCGCGGTGTTATCTGTCCAGTGTCCTTGAAGGTTTTACTCTGCCTGCTCCTAGCTTCCCACTGGGAATGTAACCGTTGCTTTTTGAACGCATCTTCAGGTGCTTGCCTATTGGCTTTACTGTATCAGGGGGTCATGATTGAAGGGGGTATATCTGAAGGTCCAAATCATTAGCCCGCCATTCCTGACACAAGTGTTCATGGTGTCCTGAATGATAGCTCTCAATAAACTGAAACTGAATGTTCTGAAGGAACACTGTTGAGTGTCTTGACTGGGAACCCTGACAGATACACACATTTTTCCTCACTGTCCTCTTTCTGGAAACATCTGA